AAGGAGCTATGAGGAACTGCTTAGAATAATTTCCTCTGATGAAGCCTTCTCTCTACAGAACTGCTGTGAGACTGGGGGAGACGCCAAAGGCAGCACACTTGGAAAAAGGTTCCTCCTGATATGTCCCTAAGGACTTTTCCAGCTTGGAGATGGAAAACTAGACTTTAAACACAAATGTGGTATCATGAACAGAGAAGAAATTGCCAATTCACAATAAAAAGATTTTAAAGATGTGCTTGGCCTCCTGTGATGGGTGAAGAGTAGAACACCCAACATGCACTGGCCCAAGAGAGTAGTGAGGACCGCCTGGGAGAGACTACAGTTCAGCCAATGGCCTTAAATCCAAGTATTTGTCCTAGATGTCCTCTCTCTATCCTAATGGTTCATGGCAGCAACTGCAAAAATAACTCGAGCATTAAGTGTTTATTTATGGAATTAATTTGATCCTAACTTAGAGGAACATTAAGTCATAAATCTCAGTGCACAATAAAAGGGAATAAAATCGTGAATAAAAGTTTTGCTTTTAATCAAAACTTGTCTGGTTATTCAAAGAAAGATTTTCAAACCCTAAAAACAGTATTGGACAGTAACAAAGCCCAGTCAAGAGGAATAAACACACATGGCACTCACTTTTTAGTCGGTGTAACACAAAACCGGATGCTGCAGCTGAGAGACAAGAGGGTAGGCAGGAATTAAGTAATATTTTTAACTTTAAAAGTAAGAACATCTTAATTTCAGTAATTTGCGAGTCCAGAAGTGAGCATAACCTCCTTGAAGAAGAATAGTTTGTATTTCAGCTCAGCCATAAAATGCCATAATAGTGGCTTAAAAATGGTTGCTGTGTACTTTGTTAGCTGTGGCGCAAGCGGCCCAAATCTATACAACGGAGTAATGGCTCTCTTGCAAATACCACGGCTATGTAAATTCATTTAAGCAATCCTAGTGGTATGTACTTCACTGAGAGCTGAAGTACAGCTCCAAATTTTCAATGAACTGCTGACAAAATATTTTTTTTACAAGCCCAGCCAGAGAGGCATCCAAAGCTCAGCTTCAACTTTCTAAGAAAAGGGACAGAAATCTTTTTATGCACTTTTACATGGCTATATCTCATGCGTGCTATTCCGTATCAGAAAGTGACACAGTACTCTTTTGAGTGCTTTAGTAATGAACCAAGACTTAGTTCAAACCAGGAAGATTATATGCAGTGATAGAAACAGACACCAAAACAAGAACAGCAATACCCGAGAGTCCAAACTTATTCTAAACATATGCTCAAAGCAACGATGACTGTTTTTGTCTTTCACACACGAAATTGCAGAAAACTGCAATTTATTCAATACCCAAAGAAGTTTTAGAAACAGAAGGCTCTAACAAAAGAATAGCTATTATTAGCATAAGGCACAGGCAAACCTATGCAATTTCAAAAACTGACCTGAAGACACAGTATTACTACACGTTAGGAACAACACTGAACCAAGGACACAACTCAGCTTTTCACTTAGTGTCCAAAAAAGCCAAACAACTTTCTTATATTCAAGATAAGAACCTTCAAATTTCATCAGCCAAAGTAAATAACATTACTTCTGTCAAACTAAGGAATCCTGTTTATTGTTGTGCTTTTCTGTTCCAGCAAAATACATGTTAGGAACCCATTTCTGGACACTGCCCGCTCTGTCTTATCACAGGAACAGAACAGCACTTTACGCTAGTAAATGGAGAGCAGTGAAAAGTTCACAACAATTTCCTACAGAAAATAGATGCATCAGTAGAGCTTTCCTCTAAATTCAAAGAACCAGCAGAAAAAACTGTTCAAGAAGGCAGGACACAAGAAGGTCAGCACAAGAGCTGGCTAGCTTGCTTTCTGCTGCTCAGCAACATGAGAAAGGAATGAAAGCAAGCAACAAAAGGATTAACCTGGTATCATCATTACAGTACAGGATTGCATCCATCCATACTTATCTCACAGTAGAAGGATTAGTGCTAGTAAAAGAAACAGGCTTTTAGACCCAACTCAAAAGAGATTCTAATATTCTAGAAAAAAAGAAAAAAAATATTTGGACTGGAAGGTTAGCGTGACATCAGGTATAACACTCAAACACTCTCACAGCACATGCTCTACTAATAGAAAATAATTATAGAAAAATTCAAAGAAGAATCTGAGATACAAGTTGCAGATACCTTGTGAAAATGTAATCAGTTATTCATAAGATTAAGTTAATATCCTCTGTAATGAAAGCCAAAGTAAGAGCAACTTATGTTCTTGCCTATGAAATATATGCTGCATTAATACTGCCAGCGTAACAAGAAAAAAACTCTTGATGATTGATAAAATCTCGATTAAAAAAAATAAAAGGTACTGCAAGATTTTACAATGATTGTTCTACTTGTAACAAGACTAACTTTGTAGGCTCTTCCAAACCTTTGACTACACAGAAATACTCCATGCAGTGCAGGTTCACAAGACGCGTGTATGGTCTAAGATAAAAGCATTACACTAGTGTAAGATGCTGACTTACGGCTAACTGAAAGAGGTGAGAAAAGAAAAGAAAAAAACCAACAAAAAAGCCCAAACAAAATCCAAAGAAAGAAAAATCATAACCGAAACCAGAAAAAAAACCAACTTTGTTTAAATCAGTGTAGCTTAATGAATGGTACCTCTTGCAGATTTCCATTAAAAATACGAAAAATAAACCTCTTACACCAACCTTTTTTTTTAATTAAAAAAAGGGATGTGAAAATATTACTTTTTTACCTCTGCTTCTACACCAAGTAGACCAAAGATACTACATGTATTCAAATATATAAATACCATAGTTTCTTTCAGGATGGAAATAACTTTTTTTTTTTTTTTCCAAAAAAAGAAAATCTAATATGAAGATATTTTCCATTTAAATTACCCTCAGCCATGACAAATATTATTTCACAATAAGAACAGATCAACATGAGGGAGAACCAGAGAGTAAATGTGTTTCTTGAGATGGGAGATAGAAGAAATGGAGTATTGGAAGAACAAGCAAAGTGAGGAACAAGATACAAGGGTAAATAGATACAAGATTAATCACAAAAAGGCTCTAGAGCTACAAAGAGAAAAAGCAGTCCCTTTTTAGGAAGGAACTACCTTTTTGTCTTTCAGAGTAATGCTGTTCATGCAATTCAATGCTTGATACTGCAATGTTGCTCTACACTTTCTGGTTTAGATTTTGCCCTTGTGAATGCACTTTACCTGTGTTGACCTGAAAACAATGCCACCATTATTGAAATATTTCAATTCACAATTCGGGTCAAAACAACTGTATCAAATGCCAAGAAAGTTATACTACAAACTCATTAATTTTTCTTTCAGTTGGGAAAACTGATAATGAGCTTTAAATCTTAACTAGCCAATACCATGAAAGAAAACCAAATCTATTATTTTTGTAAGTCCTGGAAGATATTCCAATGCTGTATATTCCCTGTATGAGGAACTCGGCATACTAATAGGAATTAGAGGGGAAAATAGTCTGCAACTGCCTTATGGCAGGACAAGGATTGCTCTTTACTACCCACATCTTTTACTTCATCACGGTCTTTTATCTTGTACAGAAGTTTGCCCATTTCAATTTTCAGACTACTCTGAAGTTAGACAGGTTCCCATCCACATCAAACATCCATAGTGGAGGCAAGACATTTGCATCATAACATCAACTGAATGCACTTCAAGACTAGAATGATCAGGGAAGTGGGTACTTCGCCATACATTTTGATGCTGCATTTACTCTGTAATTACTTTCAAAACATAAATTTAAGACCATGAAAATCTCTTTCAGCTCTCCCTGGCTTTCATATCTCAGTCAAATTACATTTCAGCATATCTTCAACATATAAGGAAAATGAAGGCTAATCAAGATAATTATCCAAAAAGCAATCTTCCACATGTGTTTATATTGACCAATGTCAAAACTAACAACTCAGTTTGTCACCTTTGAAACAAAAGTTTGGTTGCCTGACCTGGAAACTTAAAGGTTGCTTTCTGAAAACTATTAATGTCCTAAGCAAACTGACCTGGTTATGAAAGAAGCCCAGCCACAAACAAATTTTAGGGTTTTTTTAGTACAAAAGCAAACTATTAAATGACATTTGGTTTACATTCAATCATCTTAACTCTGCTTAGAGACCTTCCAAATAACTAGTAAACCCCAACAATTCTTTCTAATTAAACTTTGAATTTAAAAGAGACCTTTAAAAGAGTGCTATGAAAACATACAAACTATCCTTTTTTTTTTCCCCTTGGAATGCATCATGTAACAATTAACTGCATGTGTATCCTTGCTGTTGCAGGGCAGAGCACTTCTCAGATGCATCACTGACAGCAATACTTACAAGAACGGCAATTAGCAAAAAATGTAAAAGCTCAGTGGAATAAAAACACTGATTAGGTGCTCTTAAAGTATGAAAATGAAATGTGCAACATTCACAAACAAAAGATGTTCTCTGTTTTGGTATAAAAATGATTGCATGTTGCACTAGACAACAGATTTGTTTAAAAAAACCCAAACAAACAACAAAAACCAACAACAAAAAACAACCAAACAAAAAACGCCAACAAAAACTCCCATGTTTTAGGTAGTAGTCACAAGTATTAGTCACACAACTCTTCCTAGCATGATCCAGTGTGTGTCTGTAAGACTATATTCTCTGTTAACTTTATTTCAAAGACCCCACAAACCAGCACACAAGTATAAACTAGTTTGCATTCTAGAACCCTGCTTCATTAAAAAACACAAAAGATCATGATTTTAAAATTCCTGACTATATTCTCAACAAAAACGTAGCCTTATTTTAGCAGAAATGAAAAGTCAGTGGAAGTATAATGAAAATTACCTCTATACCAAATGATTAACTTCTAAGTAGATCTTAATTTACCACTTAGCAGTGTGACAAATTTAGACATGTTAATATAGAGATTCATATTAGAGAAACACTCGATTAAGGGAGTGGGGGGGAAATCTAAAGATACGTACGACCACTCAGACTCCAACTGCTCTTTGTAGACTTTCAGGACATGGAGAGCCACAGTCAAGTTTCCAGGATCCAGCAGTTCTCTCACTTTCTCTGAATTAAGGCAAGTAAACAGGACCATACAACAATAGGCAACAATTTTCTCATCACTGTATGTTAGGCACGTCCTTCAAAAGAAAATAAGAAGTTAAGAGAGTAAGTTAAAAATGATCTTGGAAAAATAGACTAGTGGCATTCAGCTCATTGAAAAGTTGCTCTTTGCTGTCTTTTACAGAATCATGAGTCATTGCCTAAGAGGGACAGAAATCTCTGCAACAAAAAACATCAAACTCCCAGCGGAAGGTCAAACTTAACAGGCAATTTACTAACACTAAACTGGAACTAATTGAAGATTTAAGAATTGGGTGAAACTATAATAATTCTATGCTTCTATTATCATAAGGTACATTCAGTGGTGACAAGTGGGCTCCAAAAAACACACTCAGAATGAGTATCAAATTGAATGAACGTGTCTTTGTTAGTAGCTCACTATGAGAAATGTGGCCAAACACATCAACAATATCGTCATGTGTCTGCACAAAATCATTTATGTAATATTTCATTACACACATGTCATCAAATCTCCAGAAAGATATTCTGGTGAGGTTAGGAGAGGGGCAAAAGGTCTGGGAGACATAAAGATGAAGTCACTTTTGTAGATTCCATCTGATCCACAAATACTGACAGGTCTGCACAGCAGCAAAGTGAATAGAGAAAAAGTTATGTTCCTGGAAATTAGTATAACTAGTAACTATTATAACTATTTGAAAACACCTCTGAAATAAAGCTTATATTTGAAGCTCATCAATTGAAATGTGGTTTTCTTCCAGTTTCTGTTAAATTATATCAATTTACTGTTAGTTTAGAACAAGTAAGTTTTTTAAAGGTTCTGACCCCTACAGTTGACTAACAAAAAAAACATCTACAGGATATGGTCTCAACCATCCCATTCTCCCCAAAGTTATTTTTCAAAGCTTCATGGTGCTATCATGTACCAAAAAGATTTGAATAAAACCACAGAAATTACATTATTAAAAAACCCCTGCATCCATGCTTACAAGAAGAGATCTGGGAATGCACATTTCCAAATGCTATTCTGGGACTCTACATTTCCTGCTGCAATGTTTCCGAGAAACTGGAGGCTACAACGAAGAGCTGAAAAAAGAACCAGAAAATGTATTAATAGGAATCCAAAGAAACACTAATAAATTTCATATAAATGACAAACTTTTAAACATTACAGCTATACACTGCAGAATCCATCTCAATTAAGCTTTGGGTGCTGTATTTCACTACTACCAGTCAGAAATACTTGCAATTTGTCTTCTAATGCAAATAGTTTTACAAAGTATTCTAGAATTATACCCTAAACAAATCAAATTTTTCTTCTCAGTTAGACTTACATGACTATCAAACATTGGTTACCAGTGATTACAAGAACTAATTGAATCCATCAAGGGTTAAGACAGACTGAAATAAATGAAAGCGTGGAGCTACAGGTAGCACACACTGAAGCAGACCCATGCAGAAGCAGTGGTTGCCACATGGCAGTAGCCTATTTTCCCTCTTCCAGATCTGAGATGGCTTTCTTCCTCATACTGAATTAACAAAAACAGGCTGCCTACCATCACCTGGGCTCTGCAAGAGCAGCTCTACCTGCTAAGAGAGCTCCCCAGGCAGCCTCCCCAAGCTGGCCAGAGACAGCAGGTTTGGTTTTGTTGCAGCAGGTCAAGACAGAGCAAGAGAACTGAATCAGCTCCCTCGCTACCCACATAAAATTCTTTTTAGCTGGAGAAATCACTATATAACATGATGATGTACTTAATACTTTCTGATTTCTATTCCAGAAAAATTAAAGCCAGTACTTTTTAAAACCAAGTAACTTTGTCTCCAATTTTAACAGAGTTTAATATGGCAGATTTCTACTATTACAAAGGACTTATTCCAGCCTCTCCTCAATACAGACTTAAAATATGGGAAGATGATATTTCATCATGCATGTTAATATCTTAGAGCACACCAAAAGATGTAAATTCATTAAAAACAAAAGTAAGAACCCACAGACCTCACAAAATTAAAACACTTTTTTTGGCATTACTGACAGTTCTCAATAGCCTGGCCTTTATTAATAGGTTGGCAAAGAAAGTTAAATGTTAAAATGCAGTTTAACAGATACTACAAACAGCAGTCTATTACAGATGGAGGTGGCCGATATTGCTAGGTTCTAAAAACATAAAATTAGGTCTCTTTGAAAAGTGCTGTGCCAGCTGGCAGACAGATTTTCTATGGAGGTCTGGGCATATCTCCTCTTGGCAATGAAAAAGAAATCAAGTCTAAAATAAGGTCACTTGGGCTTAGAGAAAAGTAACTTTTTTTCCATATATAGTTTTTTTAAGCCCAAAATATGACTTCCTCCTCCATACAGCATTTTGAATAATCATCGTCTTTATGCTTTAGTTCTTAATATCTCTGTTTTCTCTCCCTGCACATCTGCAATTTTTATTATTTTCTACCTATCATTATGCTTCTGCTTTTCCCACCCATCTGGTTCCCATCCAGCTGAGTCAGAATTTTTCTGAAGGACAGCAAGCATGGGCACGCTACTTTTCCAGCAGACATTTTATGGAAATACTTCCCTAGAAAAAACTAACAAGGCAGTAAATTCTAGTAACAGAGTATTATTTCTTGTCGTGAACTCCTTACGTACTTTATTATGACAAAGATCTCTCAGAGAGACATCAGTTTGGTTGGTTATACTCCAATCTTTACCTGAAATTTGCTTGACCCTTTTGAGCTATCAATCACCCTTTGGTCATTAGAGACTAAGTTGTCAGAAAAATACTACACACTAGGAAAAAAGTTAAAGATCTTCTAAAAGTTGCTGTTCTTACTGTAACACTGATGAAATGCTCTGAACACATTTGCAGTACAGTAATAAATATCTACAAGTTCTCCATTAATCAATCACACACTTAATTAATCTCCATTAATTAATCACACACTGGAGTCTTAATATTTTTGAAAGCAACCAACCCCGTCCTTGTTCAATCACGATGTCCTGAACAAGCAAGACTGATCCAGGAAAAGGTCACGAATCTGTGGATGTACCATGGAAGAAAGGTTGCATCTCTAAGAGTTTGTATTTTAACCAGCAATTGTTAACATTTTTCTTTTAATTAGAGGATATAAATTATTATATAAGGTTAAGCAGATAATCTGTGATACAAAAGCAACTGCATCTATTCATAACTAAGCAGAAAAAGAGTATGTCTTGATAATGCAACATTTCCCCATGCAAGTAACTTCACATGATAAATCTCAGCAATTCAAAAGAAAGATGTGATTCTATAAAAACCCAAGGTAATTGAGCTACAGCAAGAGTACGGATTACACACAACAGGACCTATGCTCACAGTATGTCCAATCAGCTCGTGTGCTCTGTCACAACTACAATGCAGCTGCTGCACTGCTGCAGCAGTGCCTGAACTCCTTTTCTCTATTAAAAAAAATGTAATTCATATTACAAAACGATATAGCTCATTTCAGAGTACTTAGTGTGATGCCATGTCAATGACATATGCTAAATATGGTTTCTGATACGCTAAATATGGTTTATGTACTGGAGCATGAATACTCTTATTTTGGCTTCTATGATTGTGGATTTACCTTTGAGAAGCTGGGTCTTCTGGGAGTTGATGAGATTCACCTGACCAAATGTGACAAGAGGGTCTTCACCAACAAGCTGGCCAGACCTACACGGTGAGACCTCATCTGGGGTACTGTGCCCAGCTCTGAGGTCCTCAGTACAAGCAAGACATGAATCTGTTAGAGCAGGTCCAGAGGAGGGCCAGGAAAATGATCAGAGGGGTAGAACACCTCTTCTATGAAAAAAGGCTGAGAGAGCTTGGGTTGCTCAATCTGGAGAAGAAAAGGCTCAGGGCAGATCATATTGCAGATTTTCAATATATAAAGAGGGCTTATAAAAACAATAGAGGGAGACTTTTTACCAGGGCCTGTAGTGACAGGACAAGGAGCAATGGTTTTAAACTGAAACACGGTAGGTTTAGATTGGATATAAGGATGGTATTTTTAAGATGAGGGTGGTGAGGCACTGGAACAGGTTGCCCAGAGAGGTGGTAAGATGTCCTATCATTAGAAGTGCTCAAGGTCAGGTAAGATGATTCCATATAAAACATACTAGCCTAGCACTAAGCCAACAAGTGTCAGTGAATTTTGATATGATCACTGCAAATCTATACTTTGGTATTTGTGCTTTAAAAAAGAAACCCTGAAAAATCCAACTAGAGCTGTTAATTCACAGCAGGGTATGCATGTGCTAAAAAAAATGCAAATGCTAGAATAAAAGTGAACTATTGCATTCCCAACTATGGAACTCTCTTCTTACCATTCAATTTCCATGTTTCTCTTTTCGTTTTACCTCTATTGGACTTGATTGCTGCAACATATGATTCAACCAAGCTTAGAAATCTGTAGACTACAGATACTGCTTTTCTCCTCTCTAACTATTTCATTGTCCTTACAGCAACAAGGAGAACATTTAGAAGCTGATTAAAACTGACTTCATTGCACAGTCTACCAGCTGAAACCATTTTGCCATCCATTCAATAAGCCATGTGCTTTCTGAAAAGGGAAAGGAAAAAAAAGAAAGTAAAAAAGAAGACAAGAGGACTATTTCACTTTCCCCAAAAACTTACATATATTTATGAAGCTAAAAATAATTGTTAGCTGCTCCTTCTAGCTGCGTTAGCTAGTACTTGAGAAATACTACTCGGAACAATTATAAAAATATGTAACTTTTCCATAGGACTGATCTATTTAACATCTTAAGTCCACCCCCTAGCTGCTGGTGTCTATAAGCAGTGACTTCAACAAATAATTCTGTAGCTATCAGCACAGCTAAATTTTAATTTTAAAAATGTTACACTGTGTGGGGTCAACAAGGCTATTTTTAACCCAATGGTCAACCACTGTGAAATTACATGTACTAAGATGTAACTTCTGATACACAGATGGACCCTAGAGCTGAAGAAATGTTTCCCCTCATTGAGATTTCAATGGTTCCTATAAAAGCAGGATGTTCTTTAGCAAATGCAAATGCTCAGGTTACATGTTGCTTTCACAAGCAGCCTGCAATGCTTTATTGAGAATTTTCTAGGTTCTAGAAAAATAACCTCTTTATACTACAGGACAATGTGTTCAAGGCGAAACACTGACTCTTCTCCTAATGAATTTTGCTACCTAAATGTTTGTCTAAATGTAAACTGAACTTTTAGAGTCACTCAATGCCACACATGCAAAGGTGAAGCAGCTGATATTACTTTATGACTCTGCACGAGGGTGGCTTAAATGCACTCAGAGAGTTCAGTACCTTTGAGATCTCAGCTCCACTTATTCCTTTCAGTCTCTTATGATCACATACTAACTAAACCAAGCTCTAGCACACACCTTGCATTTAACAATTATATTGCAATACTACCCAGATGATCTGAAGGACACACATGAACCTTTCACAGGTCTGACCTTGCATCATGCTCTTCATAAAGAAGTCATTTCACACAGAGTCATTTGCAGAATTGGATTGTGTGTTTGATGAAAACTTCAGTCCTTGAAGTTTTTAGGACAAAGATTTTAAGCATTATGATTTAAAAATGAAACATTGTTTGCTTCTGCTCCACATGGTTAGGTCATAACAGTTTAAAAAAAAATTAAGTTGCAGTACTAAATTTAGAAGAGTTTATTGCTGGTAAGATTCTATCAACAAGATAACTGCAATTTCTCCTCTCAGTATCTTTACTGATAAGATTATTACATACAACCATTATGTTATTATGCAACCTATTTTGCTGTAGTGTACATTATTTAAAAGTTTATATTCATACACATTTTTACATCTTCCTTACAGAACATGAGTTTTTTTTTCTGGTGGCTGATCAGACTTACCTTTCAAATTCCTATTACTATTTCTCTAGTCAAGAACAGAAGCCTGGGAATTTGCTCACTAATCACTTTGAAAAGCCTTGACCTCAGCTGCAGAGGCTTACAACAGTCGTAAGAAGAGATTTCCCTTCTTTTTATTTGGGACTGTCGGCACAGAAAAAGGTGTAAGTACAAACCCTGGCCTTTACTGGAGTTAC